CAGGACCTTGGTCCTGAGAAACAACACCCTGCTGCCCGTGGCCTGGCAGCTCAGTGGGCTGGATGACCTTGCTGAGGACTTCTCCTTGTCACAAGATAAAGGCACCATTAATCCCCGCTCAGAGTTTGAAGTGACAGTGCATTTCAAGGCTGGGCGGATTGGCAGCATTGAGAAGACTCTCCGACTAGAGGTGAGAGGGGCTGTGCCCTGCTTGGTAGAGCAGGGCACAGTGAGCAGCTGTGTGCTGCTAGGGACAGAGCCAGGAAGAGCTGCACCTGACAGACACAAGGGTGCTGTGACCCCAACTTCTGACTCTGCACAGCGTTTGCCAGAATGTGCAGTGTGTCCACATCCCCCCAGATAACCAGACACTGCATCCTGAGCCTGTACCACAACCACCTTGTCCCTGTGAGTGGTTGAAGGTTGCTGTGTGGTTGTACAGACTGCAGCGTGATCTCTACATTCCTCCCGGACTTTCTCTGAAGCTCTTGCATAGTGCAACAAACTCTCCCCCTGGGATTTTGTTCCCCATGGATTAGGGGCTGCATTTCAGAGAGGGTGCTAGGTGATTGGAGAAGGTTGTCAATGCCACCTGCTCTGAGACACCTCACACATCTTGTGGTTGTTCTTACACCCCTGTGCCTCTCAAGGATGCTTTAGCTGCAACATTCCCTGCTGTGGGAGTGCAGAGTTGGGCTGATAGGGTTTTTTACTGCAGTAGAATCCCACTGGGGCAGCCCATGAGAGGAACAGGTTAGCAAAGCTTGGGAGTCTGCCAAGGCTTGTGAAGCCAGGGAAGCCATAGGAGAAGCAGCCAGCAGAGACAAGGACTGTCAGGCTGTCTACCAAAAGAATAATCTGAACATTGTTTGTTTCTTGCTGCCTCAGGTTTCAGATACAGAAAACATCCTGGGGATTGTTCAGACTGAAAACATCAAAATCTCTGCAGAGGTCTATGAGGTTTCTGTGAGCCTCAACATGCCTGGAGGTCAGTGGATGTCTCCCAAACAAAGCAGTCCAGGTGTACTGCATTACCCTGGGAGGTGGTAATGCATCCCAAAGCACTTGATGGGATGGGATGGGATGGGATGGGATGGGATGGGATGGGATGGGATGGGATGGGATGGGATGGGATGGAATACAAGGATGGCATGGGTACATAAAACACGTACCTGCAACCTGCATGAAATAAAGCATTGTCAGGGAACTGCCAGCCTTAAGTCTCTCCCCTCTGAACTTTGAAGTGTGCAGCTTCATGTGCAGATTGGATCTGTGGTCTTTGAAACAACAGTGATGTGAACAGGCAGTTGGCAACCCCCACAGGCTCAGCACAGCATATAAAGCAATTGGATTTGTGCTTGGAAGTGAGGAAATGGAAGGCAAGATCTTTAGCTACTGAGCCTGCAGATATTTTGAGTGGGAAGAGAAAGGGTAGACAAGTAGCTGGAAAACACTTCCAAGAATGGAAACTTGCTGAAAAGGGTTTTGCTCCGAGACCTGCATGTTGCTTGTAGCCTGTTGTATTCTGCAGCAGCTCACAAATACCGTGTTTGACCTCGCTCTGTGGGCTTTCTGCAGATCCAGATGGAAGCTTGGAATTTGGAACCATTAGTGTCCTGGATAATGTGAAGAAAGTCCTCAGTCTTAAGAACAAAGGGGTATACGACATTGAGTACAGGTGAGTCCAGCTGCCTGGTAGTGAGCATTTCCTCAGGTTCCCAGGCCTGTATTCTCCCTCTGTCAATGGCTAGAACCTGTTTCCATGCTCGCTACCTCATGGTAAATACAAAACCTGGGCTCTCTGATCTCAGCTATTCTACCAGAGAATCCAGCCCCAAACCAGCAGTTCTTCAGAGCTCAGCAGGAACCCAAAGGAGAGCCCCAGAAATGTCAGCCACTGAAATGCTGAGATTCATTGCCTTTCTTTGATGGTCACCTCCTTTATTTTTCTGAGACTCTGTAAATAAGTGAATGAAAAATTACAATGTCAGGGTTTCTTAAAGTAACCTTGTGATTGTCTGAGCTCTCTGTCAAGATCCAGGATCCTTGAGCAGAGCTGGATTCTCCCTTTCTTGTCTGGTCCTGTGCAAAGTCCTGGCTGTGCTGGTGGCACCTATATTTTTAACTGCAGAGATCTCCATTCCTTCCCTTTCTCCCCAGTTTCACACTGAAGGATGCAGGTCCCGGAATGCAAGACATAGCATCCCACTTCACTGTTCAGCCTCACTCAGGCATGCTGGCTGCCTCCCAGCGTGGCGTGAATATTGAGATACTCTTCCACCCCAGAAGTGAAATGGTCCTCAAGAACGAGCCCATCATCTTCTGCCAGGTGAGCTGGCTGGGCCAGGCTGTGTTATCACATGGTGTTCTGGGAGCGTAAACAGAGTAGGTGTCTAATGGAAGGAGGGCTTTACTGGAGACTCCTGTCTCCTACATACACAAAGTCCTTCAAAACCATTTGGGAGGCTTCCTAAGTGGAGCTGAGACTCTGACTCTGGAGGAGGTGCTTCAACAGGGAGGCCTGGGGTGGAGGCTGGCCTCTTTGCTTTGGTTACCTCCCTTCCTGTGGACACAGGTGATAGATGCCCGCTTGGGTGAAGGAGGCCAGGTTGTCACCAGCATCCCAGTGACAGTGTCAGCGAAAGCCGAGTACAGCAAGTACAGCATTGAGCCTGCCTCACCCATCGACTTTGGTGCCGTGATCAAGGGCACCAAGAAGAGCCAGGCTGTCGTGCTGGAGAACAAGGGCGCGCTCAACCTCAAATTCCGCATCCGCCGAGCACCCGAGCTTGCACCTGCGTCAGAAAGCAAAAGGTACTAGAAGCCCTACGCCACCCTTCCTGTGTGAGGAGGCACCAGCCACGGCTGGTATGGGGCAGGCAGCCAGGAGAGCTGGGCTATCGTCCCTCTGCGTCCCTGGCTTGGGGACGGGGGGCAGAAAAAGGCCTCGGTATCCACCCGTGTAGTACAAAGCTGGTGATAGAGCTGCTCAGTCCAGCAATGGGTGCTGCAGGCTGCTCTCTGGGAGCCATCAGAGCACAAAGGCTTTCCTCTGTGAGGAGGAAGCCAGCTTTGGCCTCAGAGAGAGGCAGGGGAGCTCAGCATGACAGATATCTTTGCTTTCTCCCCTCAGTTCAAAGCAAGGGGAATCTGCTCCATCAGCTACAAAGCCCTCATCAAGGAATTCAAGCTCCTTGACACAGGTGGGTGACTCCTGCTCCCCAGCAGTGCTGCTGCAGGGGATGTGAGAAGATGCTGCTGTGCCTGGCTGGGCACAGGGTGGGACATGGTCTGCAGGATGGAGTCCAGTATCTGCTCAGTCCCACTGAACGTTCTGTACTCTGGCTCTGACCTGGAGTTGTGGGGTCAACAGAGGGGAGCAGGTCCTAAAAGCCAGAGACCTCATAAAACAGAAGAGCTGGACAGGACAGAACACACATCCAACCAATATGATTAATGCAATGTTCTCCCCTTATTCCTGAGAAGATGGCAGTTTATATACACTTCCATATAGTTTACAGTTTACAAAGGCACTCTGATTGGCAAGCTAACATTGTTTACCTTTGCCTTAAGGTGGTCAGACTTTTCACACTGCAGCTCTATTCTAATTCATGCTTGGATAGCTGATTACTTTGTAGTTACCTTAACATAATTTCTGACTGCGCCACAACTGAATTCTCACTGCATCAAAGGCTTCTAGGCCCCTTCAAGGCTGCTTATCAGGGGCCTAGTCTGAGTGGGTAGCTCAATTCTCACTCCAGACATAAATCATGCTCTCTCTTTCTTAGAAATTCTGTAACAGGTCCTGTGTTTGGTAACTGTGAGCCAGCATAGGTCTGTGAACACCACAGAAGCAAAAACATCCCCCACTGAACTCCCAGTCCACAGAGCTCAGACAACATTGCTTTTTTTGATTCCCAGTCCCCTGCTTTTCTCCCATCATTTCTCACAGTGATTTCTGCTCTCCTGTGTTACCTATGGAGATTGCAGGATCACAGCTACCACCTTCATTCTTTACACTCAAACTCCTTTCTCTCTGCCACTTGGGACAGATTTGCAGCTCCTCTTGGCTTGTTGCTCTCAGCCTGGAGCTGCCTTTGGGCCATGCAGTCATCCTTCCCTGCCCTGGGACTGGGTGCTTGGGCCCAGCTGGAAGCCAAGGCAGGACATATTCCTTGCTGGGGTGCTGAAGGCACAGCTATTAGCCATCAGCCTCTCCTGGAACTTTTTCTGCAGGATCGCCTCATTCTTGGCATGTTCAAGGTGTCCCCCTGCTCTGGCTCTGTCCATCCGTGGGGCCAGCAGGTGATCAGAGTGGAATGCCTCGCCGGGCAGGAGGGGACATGTGAGGAGCAGCTCTGCATTGACATCCTGGGCAGAAACCCCAAGGACAATCCCCTCGGCATTCCCTTTACCCTGATGGCCGAGTCCTACTTCCCAGGTACCTACTGCCCACAGTCACACCTGCTGATGATCAGCACCTGAACTTGCTGCTTGGATAGAGAGGCACGCTAGCCCTGGTGTCCCACCTTAAAATCCTCAGAGGTTCCAGCCCTCTTCAAGTCCACCAGTGGACTCATCCCTTCCAGGCTGAGAGGGATGCATGGAAGGATAAAAGGAAATCAATGCTCTCTAAGACTGAGGTTGACTGAGCTTCATCCTCACAGCCAGCTCCCCCACCCAAGGCTGGGTTTAGCAGTCACCCAGGCAGAAAGGGCTTATCAAGGCTTCTGAGAGGCCAGCAGGGTCATCAGGGAGGCTTCTCCATGCTCACCCCTCTGGTCTGTCCACAGCACTTGTTAAAGATGTCAAGTTAATCTTCAAGGAGTACCCGATCTGCAGCAGCACCAGCCTCAGCCACATGCTGCAGTCAGTGATAGGCACGGGCCTGTTCATCAGAGATGAGAACCAATTCATCTTCCATAAGGCTCTGGTTGGGCAAGAGGCTGAAGCTCATTTCAATATTTACAATGCAAGCCGTCTGCCATGTGATGTGGCCCTCTCCATCAAACCCCTGCCTGGAAAGGTAAGAACAGGAGGCCAAGGTGGTGGTTGTCCTCTAAAGGCCGTGTGAGAGCCTGTTTTGTTCTCCAGATGCATTGCTTCCTGTGGCCCAGACTAGGCTAGCTCAGTGCAGCTCAAACTGCAGGAGAGAGCAGCAGAGCCAGGGAACAGTTGTGTGGAATTCTGCATGTCTCGGGCAAGGTTTTGGCTCACACCTCTGGGTCTTCAGTGAGAGAATTGACTCCTGAACCTCTCTTGGAAGCACATGCAGAGAGGGGCTGTTATGACCTGACATGCCAGGGCTAAAGCAGAGTATTTCCTCAGGCTCCCTGGCTTTTCCTTCTCTTTGAAGGCCAGTTCTAGGTTATTTGCAGGGTCTTCCATGCAGTGCCCACCTCCCATATAGGCTGGGGCAGCTGCCAGGACTCAAAACACACAATGCTTTAGAACAAGGTCAGCATGCCCTGGGAGGGAGGGAGCCTGTCCAGGGAAGCAGGACATGAAGACACACTGCCTGGGGTTCAGCAATGCATTTATGTATAAAACTGTGTCATGTTGAAAGGTGTGTTCTCCTAACACTGCTCTCTGGGTTCCCCCAAGGAACAAATCCCTATCAGAAACATTTTCAAGTTGGATCCAGTCAAGATGTCTGTTCCTGGCTCATCCCATGCTGTTGCCACGGTGACCTTCACCCCACCAGACGAGCAGAACTATGACTGCACTTTCAAGGCTTTCTTTGACATCCCAAAAGGGTAACTGACCCTGTGAAATATTGGGGGAGGCCTCACTGATAGCTGCTCCTCCCCTGGGAAGGAACAGACCTCTTGTTAGCACTAATGCTTTCAGTACCCTTAGGCAGAGTTCTTGGCATGAGATGATCTGGGAGGCAGTAACTCTTAAAAAGAAAAATTAGGCTGATGGTTTAGCCTGTATGAGGAACTACGAAGACAGGCAAATGTTAGGTAGCCAGCCGGAAGTTACTGAGATGTGCTGCAGCTGAGCTGGGCATTTCCAAGGACAGAGGCTTAGATGAAGCAGTTTCTGTACCAGCAAGTCAGCAGTCACAATTTCGTCTTTGTTTATGTAAAATTAGATGATCCTCTGTGATTACCTGGCATTCATTAAGCTGTTTTGGAGTGACTGGAACTGGTATGAAAGAGGAGCCTAGGTTCCTCTGCCCTGGGACCTGTGTACCAGGGCTTTGACTTGCCCTTCCTCATCTCTTTGGTGGCTGAATTGGAACAAGAGAAGTCTAAATGCTAATAAGCAATTGCATTTTTACAGTTCTTGGAAATTATCTTTACTGATGGTGACAATGATGTATTGTTGCCTTCTTGCTTTCATGCTGTGTCTTTGCTTTTTGCATAAGTTTCCTCTCACTGTAGCCAGGGGATTTGCCGTATCATCTGGTGCCTCATTTACTTGCTGTACTGCATGATTCAATTAAGTGAAATTATTAACTGTTATTGTGGAAGGCTCTGGCTCTTTGGAGCAGATTCCTCTTGTGAATGGCCCTGAGTGGACTGGGAAGAGGCTGGTGGGAGGGCTGTGTTGTGGGGTACAGGAACACCAGGCAGGGAGAACACTCTGGCCCTTGCTGCTTCACTTGCCCAGTGAGAAATGTGTTAGTGCCAGCTGAAATTGTTTCTGTGTCTCTCCTGCAGCTCTGTGAGAATTGAACCTCGGATCGTGACCTTCCATATCAGCGGGAAGGGGCTCGAGCCACAGCTGACAGTCGTGTGCCCAAGTGCTCGCAGCAAGAGGGGAAACGCCGTGCTGCGCTTCAAGAGGCTCCGGCTGGGGGATTCAGAGACGCTGCCCCTGGTCGTCCGTAACGATGGCATCATACCTCTCAAGGTGAGGAGGACCTGCTCGAGGAGTGGTCTGGTTTGGGAACAAGTGTTTGATAGACAAAAGTGACACACGGGAAGGGTCCCAAAGAACATGGCAGACCTGGGAAGAGGTGTTAGAAATTCTTTTTAAGCAAGTGACTGACGTCTGTTCTGCAAGAAGGGAGTTCTTGGAAATTTTCCGTCCAGTTTTTCTTCTTTAAGTTGAACACAAGAAAGGTGGTGGAGTATTTTTCCCCCTGTCTCTCAGGTCACCTTTTGTTCTCATGGACACGTGTGATTTCCCACTTCCATTAGATTGTATTTGATCCCAGTTTACTACATTTTAAGTAGACTTAGATGTGGTTTCATGAGCAGAATGTATTCTGCCCATTACTTTCTGTCCTGTTTGGTTCTTTGTCAGTTCTATCCAAATGCCTCTGAACACCCTTTGTTCTAGGCTGGTTTGACTTAACTTTTATGCTAAGTGCTGTTTGTAGTGGGAGAGGTGCTGGGTTCCCATGTGGGACCAGCAGCACTGCAGTGTCAGTCCATGTGCCATCCTGTACTCACACCAGTATCATTGTGCTCTGGCTTCTCTTTTCTCAGTTTATGTTGCGCCCAAAGGATGAGCATGGAGCGTTCTTCTTGAAAGGCAGGGCCTCCACACTCGAGGTATTCCACACTGAAGATATGGAAGACGACTCCATTGAAAACGGTAAATTCATTAACCACAAAGTGTGATCATGCACAGAGAGAAAATGTGTGCCCTGCTCTTGGCTTCTCTGAGCAGCAGCCAGATGTTAGGCACAGTGTTGTTCCTTGGGCTCTCTATCCCCCAAGCTTTTCTTGGGGCTTTTCTTGCAGCATTTCCTCCTAGCAAGTTATAGGAAGTTCTTCTGTTCTTCTAGACATGGTGGGTTGAGTTGTGGGGGACTGTCACTACCTCAGTGGACCCTCTGAAGTATTTGCTGCACATGGGAAGGTACCAGCCTGAACACACACAGCCCTTGAGAACACAGCTAGCAGAAGAAGCCAAAAGCACTCTTTGGCTCAGCTTTGCATATGGCTGGAGCTGGCTGGAAGCAGATGGAATGAGGGCTGGGCATCAGCCTGAGGTTAAGCTGCTTAAGTGGTGCTGTGTCTGGAGATGGCAGTCCTGTGAACAGAGGAAGAGGGTCTGGAACCAGTGGGGGTAGAACCTGTGCCTAGAAGGCAGCTGGTTTCAACCTCTTATTCCTCATCTATCCTGTGGAAATATTTCCTCTGTACAGCTGTATCACTTAACTCTGATTTCCATTGCTGTGCAGAGAGCAATCCCCCAAAGAAGTCGTTCTTCCTTCTGCATCACAAGCAATCGACAAAGTTTGATGTCATTTTCAAACCCACCCTGGCTCAACGTCTGGAAGGGAAGATTTGTCTGTTTGTGAAGGACACCTACTCTAGCAAAACCATAGCAGAGCTGGTGGGTGAAGGCCACAGGGATGAATTCACCCTCGGTGGATTAGAGGAAGACATCCAGGAGAGGAATGCTGAGAGCAGTCTGAAGAAAGACATCATTGATGGTAAGAGAGGACAGGCTGCCAAGGTGTAGCAAGGAAGAGGAAAATGTCTGATCATGTGTGTCCCCCCTCTAGCCAGGCCTGGGCTGTCACCCACGGGACTTGGTGGCCTGTGGGCATGGCAGCCATGCGTGCAGAGCAGCGTGTGCTGTGCTGCATGTCGCTGGCTTAGGGACGTGTCAGGGTGTTTCCCTGGAAGTGGTGGGATGGGGAATTGCCTGGGGCACTCCCTCCAGAGGGAGGAAGGCTTGGAGCAAGGAAGCATTGAACATGCAGGTGTCTGCACGTGAGGGGGGCAGGTGGAGCTTCCTGCATGCTGAGATCCCTTGCTCTCCTCCTTTACAGCTGTCAGAGTGAATCACCTCCAGTTTGGGGACTGTCCTGTTGGGAAGCCCTGCCACAGGACCTTCACCATCACCAACCACACCCGCAAGAAGGTCATGCGCTTTGAGTGGGAGGCAGACGCCCCATTCCAGTTCTCCCCCAAGGTGAGTGTGGACTGCTCTGCCTTTCCCCATTGCTCAAGCCCTGCCCTGGTGTTCCCAGGAGCTGGCAGGGAGTCCTCACGTACCAGTGATAGCCTGTTCCAGTGCCACGGAGGAGATGCAGCCCCTGGCTTGGCTGGGCCATGGCTGCCAGCCTTGCAGAAAAAGGCTTCATGTTATGGGACGTGGCACCTTCTGTTCATACTTTTGGATATCAAACTTCATGTAAATCCACTCTGAGATGCAGCTTCCTGGCACAGCTGCTCACCACATCATTCCCTTTTGCTGTTAGTCCTACCCTTGGCAGTGCTTCCAGTTTGGTCTTGACTCCCTGATTCTCCCTAGGTGGGACACCTCCATCCTGGCTGTGCCAAGGTCATCACAGTGACTTTGAAATCAGATGTGCCAGGCACCTTCAGGAGGCACCTTGTGAAATGTAAGGTGACCAAGATCAACTTTGATCTGCCACGAAGGAAGGTTCCTGACTGGGATGATGAAAAGTGCTCAAAGTACACATTGAAGATGGCCACCAGCAAAGACCCAGAAGAGGAATTCCCTAAAATAGAGAAGGTAAGAAGCAAAATGGCAAAAAAAGCCAACCCAGCTTTTACAAAAAGAACCACCATAACACCATCACTGCTGGCTGAGCAGCTCCTGCTTCCTCTGGACGTTGGACAGCTGTGAGGTTCACCAGCAGTGCATTCCAGGAGAAAGGTGGATGCACAGTGACTGGATACACTCACACGAGAGGGGGAAGCCTGTTGGCAAGAGACCTTTAGCCACACACAAACCATCAGTCTGTGCCACAAGCACAAGTGTTGCAGCCCATGTTGAATGGGAGAAATGTTTTATGATTTTATCTTATTTTATCGTGTCAGAAATTTCTTTATCTCATTTGGTGCCTTTTCACCAACAAGGAGTTAAGTCTGCTGCACTCTGTCTCTTCTTTTGAAGTGGAGAGAAATCCAATTCTCCTGCGTATGCTAGTGAACTCCCAAGTTTTGTGTGCATGGATAGCAGAGATTTTGGTTGTGGTCTCTGCATTGTGGGGGATATATCATCATGGAATAGCCCAGGCACTGCATGACAGTATGGAGGAGTCCGGAGAAGGATCATCTCCAAAGACTCTTGCTTTTATTGTCATTATTGCCACACACACTCATCTTGGGTGAAGGTTCTTTCTGAGTTTCTGGACCATTTTAAGGCCTCTATACCATCCTCTTTTCTATCAGAACATCTGCAGTTGGAGACTTTCCAAGTGAGATCTTTCCCATCCCAAAATGCCCATCCCCAGCTCCCAGCAGTGTGGCTGTTGCTCCACACAAGACATCTGGAAAGCACTTTCTCCTAAGACAAGAAGAAAAAGGTGCTTTCTAGAACTCTTCAGTCTTGGGTTCTCCATCTACAGAGCTCCAGCAGGGGAAATTAAACCAAGTTTTGAGACCTGCTGGATCTATAGGGGACCAGGAAAAGAGTCAGTCCTTCTACAAGGCTGAAGTCCAGGGACTGGAAACCAGCTATAGTCTCCATGGGGATATTAACAGCTGTGGTAGTGACTGCTTTGATCTGTGGGTAGAAAGAACTACTGTAGCAGAGCAGTCATCTTGTCATTTTATCATCTTTCCAGGGAAGATGAAGTGAGTGGTCCTTTCTAGTCCCTCTGTGAGGCTGATCTTGGAGGCCAGAAGATTCCCTTCTCAGCCTGACCTTCTGGGCTCTGCTCAGTGGTTCCTCCCTTCTGTGTTTGCAGGTGCTCGAGATAGCCTCGGAGCCGGCTCACACTGTGGTGGAGGAGAGCAGCCAGGAGTTGGAGGTGTACCTCAGTGCCGTTGTTGCCTACACCCAGTTCAAGCTGAACACGACCGTGGTTCAGTTCAAGGATACCTTGCCCTTCCAGACAAGGACCACCACGTGAGTGCTGGAGGCCAGGCAGGGCCCTGCGAGCAGGAGCTGCCTTTGCCCAGGGCTGGCCCAGTGCCCTGTTCCCAGAACTCTGCCCCAGCCCAAAGCAGCACAGGCCCATTTATGTGCACACAAAGCCAAGCAGGTGGTGGTGGTCAGGAGAGGTTCAATGCTGCCATACCTTTCTGCTGAGAACAGCCATGGGTTTGCTTTCACTGCATGTCCTCATCTGCTCAAGAGTAAGTTTGCAGTCAAACCAAGACCTAAAGTCCAGAGTAAGCCCCTTAGCTTCAGTGTCCTGGGCATCATGTTGGCCCTTTCCTCTTGACCATCCAGACTTGGAAATACTGTTTCGGGCCACCCAGGACAGCAGTCTGAGCATGGCAGGGCTGCCTGGGGAAGAAGATGCTCCTCAGCAGAAAGTGGTACTAGGAGTCCATCAGACAATGTTACTGTACTATTTGCTTTATATTTATTGGACATTTTTTGTTACTCCTCCTTCTTGCTTTTCAGTTTCAAAATTCACAATAAAGGGATGTCAGCGCTGGAATACTCCTGGGAGGGCACTGCACATGGAGAACCAGTGACCAAGCCATTCTCATTCACTCTGATGCGTAAGGGCATTTCACCCCAAAACATGAATTGCTTTTCCATCCTTGTCCACACATCTACTTTCATCAGCATCTTCCCAGCTGCAGCTGGAGACTTTTTTCCTTGTCCTCTCTGCCTTTCAGCCTTTTCTGTTCTTGCTCTGCCACTTTTGCTCTGCAAAGGACTGAGCCAGGCTCTGAGGAGAGCCATGTGCTGGGTCAGGACTGGGAAGGGGACATCAGGTGATCTCTTTGAGAAGTCTGAGACTGGGAAAAAAAGTCGTGTAACAAGTGACCTGCCCCGCAGCCACTGTCTGTAGTTCCTCACTCCAGGGCAAATGCAAAGTCACTGTCTAAAAGCAACTCTCCTGCTTTGGCACAGGAGCGTGGGCTGCAGGCAGAGACCCTGTTCCCAGACGCTCTATTTCCTGCCAGAACAAAGTACTTGGCCAGAGATGCTCCAAGTGCATCCCAGCTCTCTTCCAGCTACCTGCACAGGAGGCAGAGTTGCTGGGAACATAAGTCTTTGAAAAGTGTCCTCTTCCTCCCTGCAGGTCGGTTCCTCTCCAATGAAACTGTAAGGAATCGCGATGAGCTGCTGCGTAGTTACTGGTGGGAGTTGGAACATGATGCTGAGATGCATCCTAAAGTAGAGCGGCTGCGGCGGGCTGAGAGGAGCCAGCAGGATTCTGAGCAGCAGCAGCAGCAGGATTCTGAGCAGCAGCAGCAGGATTCTGAGCAGCAGCAGCAGGATTCCCAGGAGCAGCAGGATTCCCAGCAGCAGCAGCAGGATTCCCAGCAACAGGAGCAGCAGCCCTCTGAGCAGCAGCAGCAGCTTTCTGAGGAGGAGCAGCTGGATTCCAAGCAGAAGAAGGGTTCCAAGAAGCGGAGCCCTTCCAAGGAATGGCACCTCTCTGAGCAGCAGCTGCAGCCCAGTCTAGACCTTTTGAAGAAGTTATGGTGCTCAAAGGATCTCCTTCTGCAGTCTGCCAGTTCCTCCCTGGAAATATTCCCAGATTTCATCCATGACCTGCCAGTGTTCTCCATCAACCCCGACCGTGGCATCCTTGCTCCTGGCCAGAAGCAGACCTTTCACGCGAAGTTCTCCCCAAAGTGTGTCGGGGAGTTTGGAGTCACCATGATGTGCAGGTGGGAAACATCTACCAACTCACGCTACTGATGGGCATCACTGAATCACAGGGTGGGACAGGGTGGAAGGCACCACAGTCCACTTCCCTGCTCAGGTGGGGTCATCCCAGAGCACAGGGTTTTTTCCAGAGGGCTCTGTAATAATTCCAGTGAGGGACACTCCACATCCTCTCTGGACAACCTGGCACCTACACAGGCAAGAAGTTCTTCCTCAGTTTCAGGTGGAATTTCCTGTTCAAGTTCTGCCCATTGCCTCTCATCCTATTGCTGGGCATCACCAAGCACAGCCTAATTCATCTGCTAACATCCTCCCTTCAGTCCCTCTGACTGGGATGGGGAGGTGGGCCTGGAGACAGGCAGCCCCAGAAGGGCAGCAGAAACACCCACATGAGCATGGAAAGATCATCATCTGGCCTTGGTAGGGAGACACTGTATGAAACATCAGTCTCCTGGAGGGTTGCAAAATCTGGAACGAGAGAGCTGGGGACCAGCCAGTCCCTAGCTCTGCTTCCTTTTGGGACAAGCAGGGCCTGCTTCTCTACATGGAACCCTGTGTGCTGTAGTTGGTCCCCAGGCACTTCACTGGTCATGTTCCTGTCCTTGCACCTCTGCAGCCTCCATGCAGCGAGAGCAGCTGTTAAATCTGCTGCTCACTGCTTGCACAGAGAGAGGATGCAACACTGTGTGCTCTGCAAGGAGACAGAAAAGCAGCTGGCTGGGAATGCTTGTCTGGCTAACACCAGTCCCCTTCTTCCTAGGATTCCTAACCTGAAGCCAACTCAGAAGAGGGTGCAGGTGATTTTGAAAGGCAGAGGCCGGGAGAACACTCTGGATAAATCGAAATGCTTTGCCTTATGGCAGCTCGAGGAAGGCCAGAGACCCAAGAGGAAGGTGCACTGGAAACCAGCACCTAAGTGACAGCATTTGTGTCAGCTGGAGCATCCAGCAGGAGCCGGAACATCGTGTCTTCTGCTGCTGATGGTCTCTCACCCTTCCCCAGAGACCTCTGCAGCTACCCTTCCAAGCTCCAGTGAAGACCTCTCATTATCTTTTAGCTACCTAAGTAATTAATTAGTTGTTCATTAATTGTTCGTTAATTGTTAATTAAACAATTGGCAATAAATCGTTAATTGTCAGCTTGTCTTGGTTGGAAAGACAGGTGTCTGTGGGACCTCTCTGGAATGGAGAATGTGACCCTCTTCCTTCCAAATTATTATAACTGAAATTAAGGGGCTTTCAGGAAAAGGTACGGGAAAAGGAGGAGCAGTTCCTTCCTAGCATGTATAAGAAGGCAAACAAACAACAACACTGGCAGCAACAACAGACAGAACCAGGTACCAAACCACAGGCTTCCCTCAGCTGCAGGCACTTCCCCTTTGCTGTAGTTCTGGTCACAGCTGGGGAGGGAAGAGAGGGAGACAAGGAATAAAGCAATTGCTAGAGACATTTTAATTAAGCTACTCCAAGGAATACACTGGTGAGCTCAAGCACTCAGTGTGATCAATTCTTAAGAACTTTTAGCTGTGAGGGAGTCTCTACAGTAGCCAAACAGTGATTGAACAATGCTCAATTTGTTAAAAGATAAGAAAGTGATGAGAACACACCCTAGTGAGGGAAGAACCCTAGCCCTTAGACCCTTTCAAAATATGCAAATAGATTACACTGAGTTCCCCAAAATACGGAGACTTTACGCTTTATTTCAAAAATGTGACATTCTGTAGGTTTTGCATTAGACATAAATTGGAAATTTCATCCCCCGTGGCACCCTCGAAGCTCTGAGTGTGTGGAGAGAATGAATGCTATCCTTAGGAACCATATTACCAAATTAATGATTGAGACCAGATTATCATTATTATGGATCAGAACTGCTCCAAGAAAGGACATGGGAGTTTCTCCCTATGGAATGTGGTTTGGGTTACCTTATCTGGGAAGGGAGGAGAGTTTACCAATGGCTGAAACTAATTACTTGTATCTCAGAAATTATTTGCAGGCAATTGCACTTTCTTTCATGGATCTTAGATGAAAAAGGTTGTTACCCCAAACATCACCTCTAGACTTTCATATACACCAGGTAAAACCAGGAGATTGGGGTCTAATAAAATCTTGGAACGATGCTACCTTAACAGCAGCATGGGAAGGTCCCTTTCAGGTACTTTTAACAACTGAAACAGCTACCAGGAGTGCAGAAAAAGAGTGGTCTCACGCCTCTCAAAGGACCAGTGGAACCTCCTCCCCAAACTGGGACAGTGGTACAAGGAAGTGACCCTTTAATCTTCAAAAGATGATTTAATAGTGAGCAGTCAAGGGCAAGACTGGACTGACCTCTGTATTTGCCACCAGAGAGACTTTTGCTCCAGTGTGGGCTGCAATCCCTCGGCTGTTGAGTAGTGGGAATATAAGTCAAACCAGACCTTGACAAAAGAGGAATAGGAAATGACGTTCAAAGACTTTGGAAATTGCTGGATGGAGTGTCACGGCTTCTATGCTTCACCTCTACATCCCTGCAGTGTGCTGTTCCAGTGCACAGGACTAGAAGAAAGAACAGGAAGCAAGTATGGGTAACAGAGAAGGTAATCTTTGATGCTGCAGTTACGCTCTGAGGTTTGCGTCATCCGAGCAAGCAGGGATGGAACTGCTGATGGGAGGCACTGGCCACAAGTGTATCTACAACTTACTGTACTTGGAGGAGAACTATGGACAGCAACGTGAACTGACAAATCAGGAACTTGCAAATACACTGAATTTAACACTGACCTCATAAAAAAACTGATTAATCATATTTATAAGTAGTTCACAAAAGGAGCCAGTTTGTTCTGACCAGACAGGGAAATTAAATCAAGGGCTTCAGCAAAAAAAAAAAAAAAAAAAAAAAAAAGGATAATAAAAGGAAAGGGATGGATTGTGAGAGATGAGATGACATTTTGTTGAAGCCAAAAGGTAATAACCTTGAGGTTAAAGCATGAAAGATTTTGGTTCTATGTGGTGTTGTTTGGATTGTTTGGATTTGTTCTGGTTGGTTTGTTGAGTGTTGCTGGGAGAGGGGTGGGGTTGAAGACCCGACTAAAAAGGAAGTAGGATGAGAGGGGAGGGGACCGTAAATTTGAAGATGACACCAAGGCGGGAGCATGTGTCAGTCTGCTGAAGGGTAGGAGTGTGGGTTCTGCAGAGGGACCTGGACAGGCTGGATAGATGGGCTAAGTCCAACAATGTGGGATTTAACAAGTCCAAGTGCCGAGTCCTGCATTTTGGCCACAACAGCCCCTGCAGCGCTGCA